AAAAGGTAACAATTATTGCTTGTGGTTCCTACCTAGTAGGCCTCTGAAAATGGAAGGTTGACTATTTGGAGCTAGCCAGGAGAGAAAAATTCCAGAGATCCCTCTTTATCCTGTATCTATTATCCTAAGCCACTGGCAGGCTGAGACTTGGAGGATCAGGGTTCCAGGTCAACCAGGACAGGCAAGTCCACAACTTTCCGTCTTCAGCAGAAAGAGACTAAGGATAGTGGCATGGTCCTGTCATCCCAGCAACCTTAGGAAGCCTAAAATAGATGGATTATAATCCAGGTACATATCTCAGCAGGAAGTAAGACCCTATCATAAAAATAACTGACAAAAAAAAATAGGGCTGGAGGTATGTGGCTCAGTGGTAGACTGTCTGCCTAGCAATCATGAAGTCCTGAGTATAAACTCTCTAGAACCACCAAAAAAACTAACACTTATTAAATCGTACACACACAAACACTAACAGACCAAACATGGCTCCATTCTCAGTCAAGGGAAAAGTAACCAAAGTGAAAATTCAGTATTAAAAATAACTACACACAATACCTGAAGTACTATAATACTGCTGTCATAATTTCATAGCTACATCCTGTTGTTATTTCAGTGAGCTCCAATATTCCAAGGATACACAATGTAATGCTGATCCATCTCTACCTGAGTAGTCCAACTCTCCATTATATTGCTAAGTCAGTAAAAAGTGATCTCCTGAGTTTCTACCTATGTTTAACAACCAAAAATATGTGCTAACTTCTTATCAGTGAAGCTTTCAGAAAGCTGCAGGCTATCAGTAGTTAAGTTCTGGAAGAGTAAAAAATTATGGATACATTTTTAAACTGCACATGGGACAGGGCAATGTCAAAACATCAAATTCACAAGCTGTTCAAGTCTACTGAATTGTGTATTTTAAAATAGCTAAAAGAATGGATTTCCAATGTTGTCACTAGAAAGAAGTGGTGTTTGAGATAATAGATTAATTAGTCTAAATTGATATCACAATATACATAAGCATCAAAACCACAGTACCCTATAAATATATCCAATTATTATTTATTGAGTAAAGGTAAAACTAAACAAAAAGAAATTCCACATAATCGTGAAACTCAGGCTATGTCCACTAAAACTAGAAGCAAAACTAATAATATACAACAAAAGTTAATTTGTCTACTTAGATACTACACCTGAGTTATTTGTCAAATTCTCATTTATAACTACTACATCATAAGTATCATTACTTAATTTTCATAAAAGAAAGTTAAGGGTTTTGCTCACTCCTGTAACCCTAGCTACTCAGGAGACTGACATCTGAGGATCACAGTTAGAAACCAACTCAAGCAAAAAGTCCATGAAACTCTTATTACAATTAATCAGCAAAAAAGTAAAAAATAGTTTGGGTTCAAGTGGTAGAACACCAGCCATGAGCAGAAAAAGCCAAGTGAGAGCTCCAGGAACTGAGTTTAAGCTCCAATACTGATAAACACACATGCACACACAAGCTCATGCATGCACAATATAAAAAGAAAGTTAAAAATTGGGGCTGGGAAGGTGGCTCAGTGGTAGAGCGCTTGCCTTGCATGCCTGAGGCCCTGGGTTCGATTCCTCAGCACCACATAAGCAAAAAGAAAAAAGCC